CCGGAACCCACCACTGGCTTGGAGGAACGTTGTCCAAGGGGTCACAATGGGTCGGACCCGACTTCACAACTAACAACAAAAATACCAATTTGACTCTCAAACTGAATCTTATCAGATGTAATTTCAGTGTCTGGTTATGGTAAGGGCTCACCCAAAACAACCTGGAAGAAGTGAGTACATTCTCATTTCTGGAAAAAATATTACTACTTGGAATCAAAACTATTCTTATCCTTTGGGAAAAAAGAATCAACTACACCCTTCATATTAAGAAAATTTGATATCATTAGGACTATAATCCTAGTTAATTAACAGTGGGAGGGAATAAACCCCAGAAGAACATATTAAGTGTTGTGTCCTCCATGTAGGATCCCTTTATGGGGTACAGAAAAAGTCTTCCTTAGCACAAACGATGAAGCTAAAGTTTATTTATTTGAGGCCCGTAATGAAGATGCAAATGTCTTTGAAGAAGACCTAATGCTTGGAAAAAGGGAAGAAGATTGAAAAAGACGCCGTATGAAGACAGAAAGTAACTGTAACTCCTATGCCAGTGATGGCTGACTTTTTTGTTCTCGGGGGCCGAAATTGTTTGTGTGTGTCCCCACACTCACAATGCAATGCGCCCCACCCCCCTGCACATGCGCGCGACCCCCATGGGATCAAAAATGTTTGTGGGGCGTGGGGGACACGCCCCAACGCTTCTCCCACCCCCTTGCTGAGCCCCCCCCCAAGTGTGCATGTCTCCCACATGCTCAGCAGAAACCTAAACATCAGCTAACTGGTGAGAGGCGTGTGCGCATGCACGGTGGAGCTGAGCTGGACAACGGCTCACGTACCCGCAGAGAGGGCTCCACATGCCATAGGTTCGCCATCACGGTCCTATGCATTACACAAGCCTAGGCTTATGAAAACAGAGAGAAACCATTATTAACCGAATAGAGTAAAACGATGACTGTTAGGTAAGCCTAATCCTAACATTGACTATGAGTCAGGAAGAAAGTTGGAAACCTGTGAGTAAGTCTTGAGTTTTAAAACAGATGAGGACTATCTAATCCGCAGGGTACCCCCATTGTCAAACCCACCCACACGAGTGAACTAGCAAGAGGTTAGTACAGGTAGTCCTCAACTTACAGCAGTTCATTTAGTGACCGTTTGAAGTTATAACATCATTGACAAAAAGGGACTTGTGAACTTTTTTCATACTTACAACTGTTGCAGCATCCACATGATCAAAATTCAAATGCTTGGCAACTGACTCATATTTATGACCATTTTGCAGTGTCCCAAGGTCATATGTTCCCCTTTTGTGATTTTCTGACAAGCAAAGTCAATGGGGAAGCCACATTCACTTAACAACTGTGTCACTAACTTAACCACTGCAGTGATTCACCTAACAACTGTGGCAAGAAAGGTCGTAAAATGAGGCAAAATTCACTTAACAGCGGTCTCACTTAACAGCAAAATTTTGGGGCTCAATGAAGGTCATAAGTCGACTACTTGTAAGGTATATTTAATGTTAGCCTTGGGTAAGTACAGAATCTGGGAAACTATGAGAGGAATTTCACAGCCTCAGTTGTAGGGCATAAATTCAGGCTGAGTCTCTTTGAAGGGTTTGCAATGCTTCCTCCCCCTATTTCTTACCACCTGGACTAAGTTGTTATTTACAAGATAAGCTGCCAACTAAATTGCCTTTCTCTTTGATTGTTTAGATCTACTTTCCAATAGTTTTCTTTTCCAACCTCCCCATAATCTCTCACACCCATCTGCCCAAGAATTATCCACTCTGAACATGCTGCCTTATTTCTCTGCTCTTTTCTAGTGATTTAATTGAGCAGCTAAAACAATGTTTTTCAAACCATGTAACTTTAAGATATGTGGATGACAACTCCCAGAATTCCCCAGCCTTAGGTTGAAAAACACCGAAGTTAAAAGATTATAGGGAGTGCTGTTTGTCTGCTGATTAACTGAGTAAGGTTTGCAGGAGATTTAAATCATCCTTTGCCAGTTGTATTGTTCAGTTGAACAGCAGAAACAGCTAAAGGGTAAACAGCACAAGGCCCTGTTCTTCTGCTACTTCCCTTTCCCAAGGCTATAAGGTTGGGTTCAAACATCATGCTCCCCAGTCTCACTCTTTGTAAAACATGGTATAAGGTTACTTTATTGCTTGGACCCAGAAATTGTGCTTTATTCTAAAAAGTGTGATTAGACCCCCAGGGGATTTGTCTCCAATGCAGAAGCTCTCAGTATATATGGTAAAATAACAGAACAATCACAATAATGATACCAATAA